TATAAGGGTATTTTACACCCGGTTCACAAGCTATGCCTTTTAGGGTTTTTTTCAATGGATACAATTTGATAATAATAAATGTTCACGAATCCAGGGCACGTTCGCCACGTTCGCATTCCGACGATGCAGGTAACTTCTAACTTTGCTGCTGAAAAGTAACATGGGAGGGGGGGTTATTTTTTCTCAAATACACAGCACAGGAAGTACAGGGGTTGGTCTCTCCTTCCCCCCCGCCCACCGCCCACTCCCCTCCGGCTTGTCGAGTCTTCTCCATTTCAAGTCTTTTTTTTATCTTTATCAGAATCTAGAGGAATCCGATGAGCTCAAAAGCTCTTCTTGACAGTAGTTTTACTCACACGTGTGTCGCTCGGCCAGGATTAAGCGTATCCCTCCCTCCCGCACGACACACACACACATGGGTGCTGTAGCATCACAGGCACTCTCACCATGGCAAGTAACAAAGTCGCATATCCGAACTGAACGTCGCATATCCGAACCGAACTTCGCATATCCGCCCCTCCTGGACAATTAATCGATGACCTCCAAAGACAAATATCCCCCGTGTAGGCTTAGCAGGTCGTAGGAGCAAGTGCTGTTAGCGAGGAGCACCTATAAAGTTCGACACTGTACAAGAGCGGGTTGCCAGCGCCACACCCGGCCGCCTTTATCTCCCCAAGTGGCGATGTTTACAAACCGCACCAGGTACTCATTTTGAGGCTGAGTCGACCTAGGGGAGGCCTAGAATTTGTTCAGGTAATTGCCACCGGTGTTGACCGTGCGTGGGAATCGAACCCCGGTGGCCGGGTTCGAGCACTGCGTGCTAACCGCTGCACTAACGCTTCCCACGTGTTGTACTCGCACGTGCTATATTGCACGGGTGATGTGTTCCGTGTCTTCGCGCACGCCCATTGTACTCGTAGACACGACTCTTTGTCCGGTAACATGCGTGCGTGTGTGTGTGCTCAGTCACCTACGCACTCACGAACAAAGGGGGCAATTGTTTGAAACGTGGCCGATTATATATTCCTCTATTTCAGGCCGCAGTTCCGATGTTGAGATGACGCTCAGAACATCTGGATATGAAGAAATAAAAAAGAAATGACTCGAAACACTTGTCAACAGCATCGCCTTAAGATACATATATAAGAGGAAACATTTTCATAGCACATGCCATGAATAAGGGCCGTTGAACAACAGAAACGTCGTCAATGATATGATTTTGTCATATGATTTTGTAATAATTATATGATTTTCTTTAAAGGCAACACGGTGTTGTTGGATGCGTTGAGCTCATTTGTTAGATGTGTGTGTGTGGCGCAATGGTGGGGAGCGGTGGTCCAGCGGTTAGCGCGCTGCGCTACGAACCTGGTGTCCCTGAGTTCGATTCCTGCTCACGGCCAACACCGGTGACGATTATCTGAACCGGTCCTGGGCCTCCCCTAGGTCGACTCAGCCTCAAATGAGTACTTGGTGCGGTGTGCAAATATCACCACTGGGGAGACAAAGGCGGTCAGACGTGGTGTTGGCCAACCACCCCCTCGTGTGCCGTGGCCGGCCTTCATTAGGTGCTCGCTAACAGCACTTGCCCCAACAGTCCGTTCAGGCTATACGGGGGATCTTTGTTTTTGTTTGGCATAACGGTCTTTTTTTTTAATACTGTAGATGTTCACAAAACCCACCCTGCACATATTTGCCTACACTCAGTGATGGGCAATTAAACTAAAAAAAAAGAGAGAGACATTTTTTTTCATTCGGTAAAAACAAAAAAACCCATAAACTCAATGTTTCAAGTGCCGAACAACGCACCATGGGTAAATAGGAGACGGTGGTGGTTCCTGAACAAAGAGATGGTCACGAAACGGTCACTTTAAAGAGGCCGTCACGCGGCTCCGGAGTCGCGGGTTTGCCGACTCCTGTGGGCCTATTTACCCCACAATCCACTGCGAGTCGGATATGCGACGTGGTACCGTACAGGCAAACTCTCGATTATAATCGAGACTTTATCCGGGGCAATCGCGAGGTTGGGGAGTGGGGGGGTGACCCAGAATAAACATGAACACAGATAGCGGAACACGTGTGTCAATTACGGATTTTACCTTCGGCGGAATTCAGTCGATTGTGTTTATTCAGTCCTAAGAGCCATCGGAACGAGAGAGAGAAAAAAAATCTCAACTCGTTTGGGTCAATACCTCTGTGCGCGTGGCCTTAAAAGGGCGAAAAAAATATATAGAACAGACAACCAACGTTTCAGGCAACCGCCCTTCTTCGTTACACACGCACCTGTGTGTGTCAAACATTTCTAACGTGCTATAAAGATGAGCCGTTGCTCATTATATGCATCCCCCCCCGCCCCCCCCTCTTAAGACCACAGTGTAATTAACGAACGTGGTGACTTTTAATTTGTCCTCACGTACCACTGCCAAAGCAGCAGCAGCAGTAGCAGCGGCGCCAAATAATTTGTTTGCGGTGACAGGAGCACTCGGGTTACAATCCTCGGAGGCTTAAAATACCGGGGCACATGTCACGGGAAGAATAATATCTCACAATATGGGAAGAGGGATGGGGGGGAGGGGGGGGCAACTACACGTAAAATGTGTCGTCTTCAGTAGTGTATTCCTACACAACTGACAAAAAACGGGACTTGTCACGTCCCGGGAAGACTTGTAGAAGACTTTCCCCAGCCTTAGCGACCTCGAAAAGAGGAGATCTTGGGGAGAAGCAGGACGGGTGGCAACCAGAGTGGACAAAGATGCTTTGGGATGTATTCAGGTGTTCTCGCGAGCTCGGTTAGCCTGCACCCCGCATTCATCCGCTCACGGATAATCGAGAGCTCACGAAACGACGACTACCTCGGGCCCAAGCGAGCAGTTTCGATCGGGCACTGCCGCTCAACGGTAAAAAAAAAAGTGGTGAACCGAAATAAAATAACACCGACGGGCTTAGATTTCTCCACGCTCGTCAAAGAACGACAGGAATTGCAACGAACAAAATTTTTTTTAACATGATCGTGCTGTGTGTTTTAAAGTGTATTGTGCTACAGGGAATGACTTTGGCAAGCTGTGAGATAAATTCAACCGGTGTCATTTGTTTGAGTTTTGTAACCGACAACAAAGCTGAATATTGTTTGTCAATGAAATCTATTTTAAAAATTAGAAATGTGTAAAATCAATAACAAGTGAGTGTATATGTACAGTACACACAATGTAAAGGACTGCGTTTCAATTTAACGTTTAAAAAAATTGTTGCCACTCAATAATGGATTTTGGACTGCAGAAATCAGCTTTAGAAAGCTATATACAACAAGAGGCTAATGGGTGATTGTATTTTAATTTTTTTTATTTGGTAATTTAAATGATTTAAAAAGCACATATATTAACGGCACCCCGATCCATAAATACACACGAAGACTACATTCGATTTTTCTTCTTATTCAGACCAAAATATCGTCTCCATTTACATCCCGGTATCCAAAGTCACATTTTAAATAGTGTAACTGGTCACGGAAAACAATGGTTTTAAAAACCACGTTGCGTAATTATAATAATGTAAAATATTTATCCAGGATAGCCTCGACTGAGTCTCATGGCTCGCTATTTTTTCAGGAGCATCCCACTACATTGGGATATTTTGCCCTATATCATTCGTGAGTGGGCTTCACGTGGGAGGGAGGGAGTGGAAGGAGGGAGGGAGTGGAGGGAGGGAGTGGAGTGAGGGGAGGGAGGGTTCCAGAAGACCCGGAGAAAACCCACCAATTTAAAACCCATCAAGCACACGTGGAGAGGGGAGGGGGGTGGGGATTGATACTCGTCGCTACAATCTCTCATTACCACATACCTCCGCACCCCCCACGGCCGCGACAACCTGGCAGGCCCTCCCCTGGCGGTGGTCACCCACCCAAGTAACTTGAACCCGTCACAACCTCTGCTTTGGGTCACCGAGAGCCGACGAAATCGGGCACAAACGTGGAGTGGGACAAAAAAACGCCTCCCTCTCTCTCTCGAGTAGCTCCATTGCCAACGTTCAACGTAAACAAAGCCACGCGGCCCAGTTTACAGGCTGCAGATCGTTATTAAATGGCAATTTCGAGATGCCCGTAAACATGTTCACAAAGTGTCAATTATAGCCGTTAACCGGCAATTTTAAGTTCAGCACTGAAACAACACGAGTACTGTCTAAACTCTTACAGATAGCCGATATATGATCACGTCAGGCAGAGATGACAACATTATAGACTTAGCAAAACAATTAAAGTGTTTCTGAACAATATATATGTATTTTTATATATATATAATTTTGTATTCTCGTTCTATTTCTCATTTTTCCGTCACATATCTGCAAAAACTCGCCATCACGGGAACAAATGTGCACGTCTCTACCCCGCGTGTACAAAAACATCGGAGACATTCGTCACATCATCCACGCCACAGACGCTCCACGCGGACAGCAAAGGCAACTCCTGACAAATCGCCACATTTTCAAAACGTCTCAATTTACACGGCAAAACGGCAGAGATGTTTCCATAGTTCTTTCCTTCCGTTCCCGGAGGAGACCACCCCCCCCCCTCCGCCACCACCCAGCCACCCACCACAATGCACACACGGCGACACAAACCCTCAACGGTTGCTTTAGTCCACCCGTTTGGATGGCTCTGGAAAAAGGTGACGCGTCGCTCGCGAGTGACCTTACTTTATGCGTCCGATGCAAATCCGTGGGACGGCGGTTGGAACCAGAAGGGGTGAAAATTCTACTGGGAAGGGGAGGGGAGATGTGGGGGAAGTTGGTGGATCTGCTCGTTCGGTCGTTTCGTTCGTCTGTTTCGCTCGTCTAGCTTCAGTCAGCGACGGACAGCGAAGCGAGTCGGTTTTTTTGCGCGGCCGTGCAGGCCGCCGTGACGCAACTGGCCACCCCAACATCACCGTCGCCTGTCGCATCACGATCTTAAAACGTATCGCAAGAAACGAAGCAGCACATTCCGATTGTGTCCTCAGGCAAAACTAAAATTTGTTTGCACCGGCAAATTCCAATTTGGTTGTTTGAAAAACTCGGCGGTCAAATAATTCCGTGGTTTGTCTTTCTCGTTCCGCGCAGAGCATTCAGAGGGCATCCCAGCCGGGTGTCCATTTCCACGCCAACAAAGACAGGTCTTCGGGGGTTCTTTTCTTCGGTCGTGCTGTTTTTTGTGTGTTGTTTGGTTTTTTTCGTGCTTAACCAGTGGTCAAACGTTGTGGTTTTTCTTGCTAATTCACGACACGTGTCCCTGCGTCTCCTTGCCCCTAAATGCGACAAATCATAGAACGGCCGCCGTGTTTTTTTGTTCCAGCTTTTAAAATCTTGGTCTGTAAGAGTGAAGCGACACGATGTCAGTTATTATTATTATTAGTTGTTGTGGGATTTTTGTGTATGTGTGTGTTTGGTAAAGTTCCAAAAAGTGATTATCACCATTTAACGAATGGAAAAGTGCCAATCGGACAAAGTCCTCAATGGTGCGGTGAAGGTGAAGGTCAAAGGGCATGGTTAGACAGTGGTAGATCGCCAGGTTGCTCCCGTACAGTCTGTTTCTTCATACCTGACAAGATTTACACGTGTAGGCGTTATTCACTTTTGAAATGCTCTCGGTAAATAAAATATTGGTAAAAAACAAAAATTGTAAAAAAAAAAATCATATCAAACTATTACAATTTGAGCAAAAAATAAAAAAAAAATCCGTGAGATTCCATTATTAATATTATTCTTATTTTTGTTACATAATTATAAATAATCATAGTAGCAAAACGAAAGGGGAAGAAACAAACACACAAACAAATGTTACTCCTTTGTACTTTGAAAAAAAAAAAGTGGGACGTAAAAAAATATACAACTCTTGAGCGGGAAGGGGAATGGGGGGGGCCCTCTGCGAGGGGCGCCGCGATTGAACGATGGAGCAGAGCTCGGCCAGAGGGGGTTCTGCTCGCGTGCAACAACAACAACAAAACAAACATGGGAACGTCCCAACGCCGACGCGTGCGTGCACGGCGGGCAAAATGCAAAATACATGCTTCGGTAACAACCTCACTTTGCATTGTTTTCAGGAACGGAAAAGGTGGAGACTGGTTGGAGAGAAGGGGGGGGTGTGATATGTTGTGGCTGAGCGCGGCGTTGAATCAGAATCGGAAAATGTATTTATACCGGAGGAATCCGATGAGCTGCAAAGCTCTTTTTTTCACACATGTCCAGTCGTCTCAGATGTCCAGTTATTATGCAAAGTTGACAGCAAAATGGGGCCGTGCAAAAAAAAAAAATGACCCTTTACGGTAAACGTTGACATTTTTTCGTCAGCATCGATTCCACCACTAAAACTAGCAACCTTTTTTTTTATTTTAATACATTACTTAATATATTTGTATTTACAAGAGTGCTCAACAGTGCAGCACTGCGTTTGTGGATATTTCCTCCGGCAGCCTCGTATCGATTGACTTCAGGAGGATCGCGAATTTAGACTCCTTCATCGGAATGCCTTTTTTGTTTTGTTTAGAACGTCGGAAAAAATGTCCCACGGCGCAACTGGGCACCGAATCACGCGGGACTCTCGTCTCTGCGTCAACTTCGCCCCGACGCGAAGCCTCGGGAACACGTTACGCTCCAACGCATCCCCCCCCCACCCCCTCTTCTCTCCCCCAATACCTACAGCTGTTCAACCACAGAGGTTTATAGTAAAAAGAATTGATTGCCTCTCGCCAACTTGGAGAATGATAGGGAAGCACGGCGATGGGGAGGGTTGGCGATGAGCAAGTCAGGGACCGGGAACGAGCGGGGGGTGCAGTGCTAGGTGCGGTGGGTGGGGGTAATGGACAAAAGCGTAAGATGTAACTTGAGAGAGAGAGAGAGACAGAGAGGTACAGCAGCTCATAGTCGCGAACAACGACACGCGAGACCCTGCAACCAAACCCGCGTTTTTTCCGAGTCACGGCCATGGAGTGAAGACGCTAAAAAAGCACCCCCCCCCCCGCGCCCTTTGTCCGCTTTCGCGGTCCGAGCCGTCACGGCTCTCCGATGTGACCTCGGGATGTGACCCCCCCCCCCCCCCCCGCGTGCGACGTGCGACGTTTCGCAGCAGCACCCTCTCTTCGGGCCACCAAGCTCGGCTTGAGAAATTGCGCCGAAAACAGCCATTCGCCACTCAGTGGCGGTGACGTCACCACGGCGCGTATGTTCCAGGCTATGTGCACGTTGAGGCCACGTGAAGTGTCGAAGGCCCGCTGGCAGGAGGTCACGGGGCAGACCCAGATGCCACAGGTCGACTGACTGAGATGACTGGCTGATGCACCACTTGTGCCTCCTACTGTGCCAACTTGCTGTGCTTTAGCCACCCGGCGCTCCGCTCGTTGTTGTGAGCGTCGCTCCTCCGCCCTCTGTTGTTGTGGGAGGGCGACTGCCTCCAACTGCCCAGTAGCGTCCTTCACGAGCCTCCTCCACAGAGGCTGATCTTGACACTGCTGGTACCAGTCATCGGCAAGTCCACTCAGCTCCACATCCTCCTGAACCACATCACTCCATCTCTTCTCTAGCCCGTACCGCGCCCGTTTAGCCCCCTCGATCCGGCCGAACAAAAGCTATTTAGGCATGCGGTGGCTGGACATGCGGGCTACATGGCCCAGCCAACGCAGCCTTGCCTGCCGGAGGAGCTCACCGATAGGACTTTGCCCAGATCTTTCAAGGATTTGTGAGCTCCTCAAACAATACAGCCTGGTTAAACCCAGCATGGATCGTAGGCAGGCCAGCCTAAATGTTTCTAACCGGCGAAGATGTTCCATTAGGGGGGTCCACGTTTCGCAAGCGTAGAGAAGGGAGGGAATGACCCGTGGCACGAAAGCGCCGGACGGCATTGCGGGACGGCAGGCGAGAACGTCCCGAGGGGCGCATCGGAGAGGCCGCGCCGCGACAACGAAAACAAAACAAACAAAAACGGCCGCACGAGCCGCGGTGTCCCGGAGAGGCCCCCGGCGAGCGGAATGGAAATCGTCGAGCGCCGATGTCCCCGAAACGACACGCGGCGGCATGCGTGGGGGGAGCAGCGACACGGCAGAGACTTTGGGGGCGAGGCGCTCTCGGGCCATCGATCGATGGATGAGCGAGGCTTAGCCGAAGATAAAAGGTCCCCTCCCCTCCCCCCCCCGTAAAGCCTTTAAACAAACTGTTGGGGCGAGTGCCGCTAGCGAGCCGGCACCGTAGCAAAGCCACCGCGGCGCACGAGGAGGGTGGTGCTGCGACCAGCACCACGCCCCCGGCCGTCTTTGTCTCCCCAGCGGCGATGTTTACACACCGCGCCAGGTCCGAGTCGACCGAGCCGAGGCCCAGCGCCCGGTTTGGGACAATCGCCAACCGGCGTAGTTGCCCGCCACGTGCTGGCACCGACACTCGGGTCGCTGGGTCTGCCGCGCGCTGTAACCTCCGCGCCGCCGCTTAACCACCACCCACCCAGGGGCCTGGCACGCGCTTGCTTCGTCGAGCACTCACACGGGACATTTTATATCGGAGCAGCAGACGCGGGACATCCCCGCGCCGCTCCGGGTTGACGGCGAATCATTTTAGAGAAACACCCCCCCCCCCACCCCCGGTTCATTTTTTGCGATGCTCGCGATCGACCGGCGGCCGTGGGGGGGGGGGGGGGGCGGCATTGAAATGCGGTTCACGAAGTCGTTCTGCCGTCGGTTGTCTCCGATTAAAAAAAAAATCGAGCGGTGGAAATTTTAAGAGACGCTCCAGAACACTCATTGGCACTTACCGGAAATGAACTCAATTGGATTATTCGCGTGCAGTATAATGCGTTCAGGAGCCTAAATGGAAATTTCGAGGTCGGCTGGCCACGTTCAGAGCACTTCTCCGTCGAAGGAGCACAGACCGCAGCGGTTTAACTACTCGGTCCATAGTTTTTTTGGTTGCACGGCCACAAAACAATTTTTAAAAATGCACGCATCGACTGAGATATCATTGTTCTAAGTGGCTTCCTTGAAGTGGCGGTGCAGGGCACATGGGCAAATTGAATGCTCAAGATGTTTGAGCGTAAAAGCCGAACTGGAGGAGTATTGAATTTCAACCCCGTACAAGTACTCGTGTCAGTTACTCGAGAACTTACTCGATGCCCAAGTTGTTGTTTTTTTAAGTATAATATACAGCTCGTTGTCGATCCACTGCTGCTAGATCAAAGCCTCCCTTGCGCTGTCCTTGATCACGTGGGTTGTTTGACCACGCTTGACCGCACTGGTCGGTGATGGTTTAGTTAAAAGGTTGGTTCAGATGTCATTCCAAACTGATGGTGCTGACAGGAGTCATGTTCGTGGATTCATTGTCAATTGCGCTAACCACTGCCCCTCCCACCCCCTTTCAATTATATATCAAAGAATATGAGAAATATTAATCATAGAGCACCGGACTACTCACAAGTGCAAGGCATTAAAAGTTCAAATATCAGACGGATCAATTCAGCCTACATCATTGACATGCTGCACCCACATGTCCTCTCAAGGTCTCTTAGATCTGGGCATGAGGTAGATCTTCTCTGCATTCCTAGGCCGAGGCTTCTTTCTATTGGTAACCGAGATGTTTTCCCGGGGAACCCCCCAGGCTAAGGAACGCTCTTCTACGAGACATATCAGGATCTCAGAGTAGTGGACATGATTTATATGCGCCTTAAAGCAAATGTATACGCTTCCGCTTATTTTACTTTCAGTTAATATAGTAAATTATTATTAGAAGATATTTAACACATTCCTGTGGAGGGAGCTGGTAGGAACGTTGGGTTGCTCGGTCAATGGCCAGGGTCAACGGCGGCGTGGTGTATTCCGCAAATATATCCGACTGTGAGGGCGGGCACAAGCCGGCGTGAGTAGGTTACACGTTTAAGGGCACCGCGGGGTGACCAGCCCCTCCCCACCCAGCCCCACCCAGCCCCTCTCCACCCTCCCCACCCAGCCCCTCCCCACCCTCCCCTCTCCACCCAGCCCCACCCCTCCCATTTTTGGATGCACGACGGACGGACACAATAATCCCCTGTGGGCTGGTGTAACCAGGAGGTTCCTAACAGTATAATGTCATTGTTATGCTGAGTGTCTGCTGCTGCTGCTGCGTCCTGTACAGCGCTTTGAAAGCCTTGATGAAAAGCGCTGTATAAATGGAATCATCATTATTATCATCATCACCCCGCTGGCTTTACAAACAAACAAACATTGTGTGGGCGATCCCAGCTGTTGTCACGGGAAGCCAATGATCTTTCGCTCTGATAATGGAAGGTTTCCAATCACTGGTTCGGGACAAGCAAAACAAAAATGTAAACAATTTTTACTTCATGTTAAACTAAACT